GTTTATAATTATCAGTTCGTATTTCACAAGGTTATCAATTTCCTGCATATACATGTGCACTGACTTACGCCGATAAAATGGTTTAATAAGTCTGTTAATTTCTTTGGAATACTATCGTGTTGCATGAATTGCTGGAACCCTATTGTTCAAATCAAAGGCAAAAGTCGATGTCATAATGATAAAATGTCAACGCTTCAAACGATACTGTCAGCATTAAAATTTAGTCAGTACGCCTCCTAAATCCGGTTAGGTGTCTGTCAAGCAGCGCCATGAGTCTATTCAGCAGATGAGAAGCAAAAAGCTTCACAGAAACATGTAGTAAGCTGATTCCTTGATAGTACCTGCAGTATGCTCTATTACTTTTAATGGAAACTGGGAGGAGATCCTTTGCTCGATTCACATGGCATTTGATCCTCCCATACCAATGAATCTTCAGATTTGCTATGTGCGAGGGTGAGCAAGAGTTCAATTCACATACCTTCTCCGCGGTTTTATTGGATTTAGGCTCTTTGGGATTGCAGAGATTGTCTCGTGCTCCGTTGATAGTCCCGTACAATCGTACAGCTCTAAAGTCGTTTCACTCATCCGGAATCGCAGTTCAATTCCGAAGAATTATCTCCATCGCATACGACCATTAATAGTATTAACGAGATTTCTATCATTATTTTGGATCATTTCACTGGCTATTTCTCGAGCCCTGCTTGCCTTACGAAGTAAGTGGAATAGTTTTCGAAAATCGCCTATTCGAGCCGCTATCTCCACATTCAAAACCATATCGTTTCACTATTGATTTTTATGCCATTTCGCCACGACCATTGCGAGTATACCGAGCTACCGGTGTCTAACATTTCCTGACACACGTATTCTGGAGATGTGATTGTTTCGCCTGAGACCCAACTTCCTTCTTCCGAGTCGTATATCCCAGAGCTGATTTGCCTAACTCCAGGAGGTGGAAGCCTTCAGCCGGGAGTGATCCTCGTAAGTTCCAGTAGTACTAAGGCTGTTCTTTAGACGCTTCAGGATCTCAGCTTAAAATGCGTTTTCTCTTATAGTTGCTTTTTATTCCTAATATATCTGTATTTTTAATCGCTCATCTAGATTTATTTATTGAAAAAGCAACGGCAAACCAATTTGTCATAAAAAGTGGAGTTAGGCATTGCATTTCTCGCATGCTTGCGTTTGAGGGAAGAATCTTTGCGCGTGAAACTAGCAAAACGAAAGGTGAATGTTCTTAAGAGATAACTCTCTTTGCGATTCACAAAATGCTTTATCATTTAGCTTTTTGATTTTGTGGTGCCGTAGCCGAATGCACATTTCCTCAGCTGCATCAGCTTCTTGATTCCACTTTTAAAGTATCGTTAGTATCGTTCGACCACAATAGCCTCGGATATTGTTCAACAAGCGAGTCGGAGCAGCTGCCTCACTAAGCGAAAATCAATTTATTTTGCCTTTCATTAACATTCATTCATACTCGATTGACGCGTAAAGCTTTGCTCGTTCTGCCGGATTGTTGCTTTCTCGTTTATAGCCCTCCGCTAGCTTTCCCCCCTTCCTCTCAGAGCAAAGAGTGATTTATTTAGTTTCATTCGATTCGTGTGAATTAATAAATGCGTGAAATGGGCGAAAAATGGAGCATTTAACAATTTAAAAAAGAAAAACGAATTTAGTCGATTTGTTATCGCTTTCTCCCCGTGGAAAACGAAATGAAAAAGAACTTCACCACTACGGCGGTACGGGGAATCTCTTTTAATGAAAAGCCTGTCGGATGCGAATTAATCGCGAGAGAGTTTTCTTACGGACAATTCCTTTCCAAAAGTCGCCGAAAGTCGTCCTTACGCGGAAAATCGGATTCGAAGCTTTGCAATTTGTCGAGGTGAAATTAAAGGAGAATAAATGCGCTTTACGCGAATTCGTTCGGTGAAAGAAAAAACCGCTGCAAAAAACCTCCCAGACATATTCGCTAACTCATCAGCTTTTGCGGCCCCTCAGCTGGCTGCGACCGTAGATCGTTGTCTTTTCGAAACGTAGTCAATCATTTTTTCCAATCATTGGGTTTTTTTCCCGGTTCCAAAGCGGCTATCTGTTGACTCGTTTAAATCAATTTTTAAGTTGTTTAAGTTCAGTCAAATATGGTGAAAATTGGTTAGATTTTTGGAAAGAATCGGGGAACTAAAAGTGGTTTTATGACTTAAATAAAGTTTCTCAAAAATTGATTTTTCTGGATTTTATCCCTATTAATTGAAAAAAAACGAATTGGTACCAATGAAAAATTTTGCGAAATTTGAATTTTGCGAAAAGTGGTTTTCAAATTTGTCGTTAATTATGAGAAAGCGGAAATAGCTGGCGAATACGTTAGTTCAACGAATAGTTTGCTTATTGCGAAACATAGTTCAGCGTTACTCGTCTCTACTAAATGTCTCTTTGAGTGGTTTGCTGCTCGGACCATGTTCTACGGCATAAATTTTCTGTCCGTGGCCGAGAAGAAATGTATCGTTTAAAGTGAAACCGGTATGGTACTTACCTTTCTTTAGTTTCTTAGATTCCAGATGACTGTGGCAAGGTATAATTTCGTAATTCTTTCACATTATCTCTTAATATCCGCCTAAATAAGCTCGTTTACACGTACTCACATTATTGTGTGTGTATGTTTTTCGGGCTAACCTTGGGGTTTGGCTGGCTTTATTGGTCATTAAGATAAGATTATTTCGCCAGAGAATCGGAAAAGCGGATTTCTATATTGGCGGATAGAAATGCAGATGGGTGTACCCGGTATCTCAGTTTTAATAAATTCATTGCCATTTACCTTAATCGAAGCAGTTTACCACTTGACCATCGTACTCCCTTGTTTCTTTAAAAATCATTGCCACTTTTTAAAATTTAGATTTAAATTTTCGTTTTATCACTTAATCTTGATTTTTATCAAACTTTAAAAAGTTTAAAAACCCGGAACAAAAAAATTCTAATTAAATAGTTTATTGAATTAAGTAATTTTTTTTTTTTTCATTGGCCAAATCTTTACGGTTAAATAAATTGGTATAATAAATTGAATCATTAGAGCCACTCAAAAATATTTACTCTTTGCAATCTTTTTTCATAAAATCTCGCTTTATTTTTTCACCGGATTAGAATTATGAATTATTAAAAATAAAGTAAAAATGAATAAATAGTTAGTTGTTTCTGGTTAGGCTATTCGCTGGTTAATGTTATGGAAATTTCTAAAAAGAAGTCACGTGGCGATAGAACTATAGGTGGATCGCCAATACCATCCCAGTTTTCATAATTTTGATGGCAAATTTATTTCTATGAATGGTAGAAGTCGAACCTTTGCTTCTCAGTAATCTTAACCACTTTGCACTCGGCTGTTTCTCTCATAGGCCAATATTACCAAAGTTATTTTAAATAAAGGTCAATATTTTCTTGGTTCGTTCTGAAATTGTTTTATAATTTAATTTGCACAATAATTTTCGTGCAACTTTTGCAATTTTTTATAAAATTTAAAGTTAAGTATTTATGTTTAAAGTTTTATTTTGTAAATTATAAAGTATTAATTATTAAAATATTATAAAATATTAGATTATAAAAATTACAATATTTTTATATTTTTTATTTAAATAATTATGAATTTAAGTAATAATTATTAAGAATTAGCAAGTTTTGTGAACTGTGAACAAAGTTTTGTGAATTTGGGTTTTTTTATCGCTTTATAAATTAAAAGAATTTTAATTTATCTTTAATTTGATTTGATTTGATTTTTGACTTTTATTATTTTTTGTTTGTTGTATTCGCTTTTTATTTTTTTTGATAGTCTATTTCAATTTCATGGTTTTCTTTTTTAATATTCCTTTTTTCCAATACTTTGTAAGTAAATAAATTATATTATAATTATAAATTATAGCTAAAATTTAATTGGAGAATTAGGAGATGAAATTTATCGGTGAAAAATAATGTTACTTAATATTTTATTATAAAATAATAATATTAAAGCAATAAAATAAAAAATATTTAAATAAAATAAAAATATTTAAAGTAATATAGCCAACCATTAATTATTTTTCAAAAGGTTTTTCATAAATTGTCTTATCATAATCGATAAACTAAAGAAAGAACTTATTAACTTTATTGCTTGTAATCATTAAAACAGATTACTTTAAATTTCTAAGCAAATCTCTTGACAAAATTAAGTTATATAAACCGCTGAATAAAAATAAATGCTTTAATAGGACAGTGAAAAAAGCGAACAAATACAATAGTTGATGGGTAATTAAAGTTAATAATCGATAAACTTTGAATAAATAATTGTTTATAAGAAATGCAGAGTTAGAGTTTATTACTTATTATTTAATTAAAATTATTTATTATTCATTGTTCAATTATTTATTATTTAATTTTCTGATTTTATGGCGAATAAAAAATTCAAAAAATTGTTTAAATTGATGTTAAAAATTAAAAAAATTATTTTAATTTTTACGATGATTGTATTCAAAGAATTTTTATATGATAGTAAAAATTAATCTAACGAAATTTTTTTCTTAACGCAAGTATGTTTTATTGAGAGTGGAATACGGGTGGTATTGGGTGAACTCACTTTTACTGCTATCGAGGTGACTATGGCAAAAAGTCTCGGAAGCGGAGCCATTCGAACCAGAAATGGTAGAAGATTCATTGTTTAGCAATGTTTTATTTGAATTTATATTTTTTTTTTCAGCTAATGCCTACTTTATTGAGCATTTTGCCGGTGCTAACTATCATTTCCATTTTTCAAACAATTAGCTGTAGGAAGAAAGCGATTTCTGAAGAGGTATTGTTAAAACTAAGTAATTAGGTAAACTATTTGTGGTATTGTCTTATATATTATCGGATATTGTGTGGTTTTTGGATATTTTCTGAATTTGGTAGCAAAAATAAATTTTAAAATGAAAATGCTTAAATTAAATTATCTTTAAATGAAAGTTATGAAGGATAAAAAATTTTTTTTCAAATAGATGGGTAAATAAATTTAGGATCCAAATTCAAATTTCCTTTGTCGAGGCTCATTAAATGATTATGCAGCATGCCAGTGTCGGGAAGACGATAGTGAGCTATCATGCATAAACGCTCAGTTTGTTGATACAGATGTTTTTCTTCATATAAACAATTATCATAGGTACATGGGTTTCATTAAATTTTGAATTGAATTTTCATTTTCAGTCTTTTCATTTTTTTTAGATTTATACACTTTTATATCCATACTATGTTTTAAAAACTTATATATTTATAGACATTTTCGGAAAATAACATTTCATGGCAATAATTTTCAAGATCTGCCAGATAACCCTCTTTTTGGAACTGATGAACACCAAAATTTGGAGGTAATCATTTTAAATGAGAATAAAGAGAATAAAAATCAAGAGAATTATAGTAAAATAATAATTATAGTAAAATAAAGTTTGCTTAGAGGGAAAATTTTTATTTTATATGATTTTAATATAGAGAAGTTTATTATCACCTTTTCATATGCAATTGAACTCAGAAAATTTTGTAGCACTGTGGAGAGGTTTTTTCGGAAAATTTTTTTCTTTTAGAGTCATCACTGTTTCAGGTTTTAAACATATCAGCAAATTATATTGTGAATTTAAATTCGAAAGCTCTGAAAGGAATGCCAAATCTCCTCATATTGGATATGAGCAACAATGAGATTGTTTTAAAACCAGAAGATACCACTTTTTTGTCATATATTCCCAAGTTGAAACAGGTTAATATTCAAATTCTTTTTACTGCCGGAATGAATGTGGATGATTTTAATTTAATATTTTTTTCGGAATTTTGCTGAAGAAAATCATTATGACATTTCAGTTAAATTGTGAAATTTATATTAAAATCATTTTTTAGAAAAGGAGAGTATAATGGTTCAGCAGATTGTTATTCTTATTTCAGAGGTTTCCTATTCTCGGGGAGGGGAGGGAAAACTTAAACTTTTCTTTCAAAATGTCAGATAATACTGACGACCCACTTCTGCTGCCATGTAACCATAAAATTTGTCTGGTTTTACAAGCCAGTGGAACGAATCTAACTGGTGAGCGCCTCAAGAAAAAAAATGAAATATTTTAAGAATCTAAAGAAGCAAAGCGAGAAATCTGTTAATTTTCAGTAAATCAGTTAAGAAGTTTTATTATGGTTTAAAATTATTCAATAAAAATTATAATTGTAAATTTTATTGCAAATTAAATCTGAAATTTTCGCTTACGAAATTAATGATTAATTAGAAGAAGAAAAAATCATCTTTATATTTTATTTACTTTAATTAATATGAAGCGACTGTTATATTGATTAGGTTAACCGTCATGGTGGATTGTTAATTTTGGTTATTTGGGAATTTTATTTTAATTTTCTGTTCGATTTTATTTCAGTCTGGAATTTAAAATAAAAGGTTTAAAAGTCGTATATGAATTTGTTTATTTAGTTGTATCTGCGGCGCGCTTTTACGTCATTGGTCAATCGAACCGTTCAGTTTGCACTCATGATGGAAATGTTTGAAAATGCCAATCTCAGTGAACTTAATGTAAATAATTTCTGTATTTAATTTAAAGAATGACTCTGTCTAACTGGCTCATAGATTTTTATTCATTTTAAGAAGATTGCAACAGGTTCAATGAATAAAGAAATATTATTTTCATATATCAGATACTCTTTGTTGGTTTCCAGTTTTTTTCATTAAGTTTGTTTTTAGTTTGCTCTAGTTTATATATAAATTTAATTTTTTTAATGAATGAATTGGCTTGATTGTAAATGTTGTGGAAAATGGTAGATTTTGTCATCAAAATTGCATATGGAAAGGTTTTTAGGAGGAATCTGAGTAAATTAGTTTCGCTGCTCATAAATATATTGCAAATTTCTAATCTGTTTTTTGATCTTTAAAATTAGATAATTTGGTTATTTTTGGTTAGTTTTAGTTGGTTATCCATTTTTTAAAACTGAACTTATCGTTAAAATTGAAATTTGGTCTCCAAACCATTATATTTTTAATTTTCAGTACATTGATCTAAGTTATAACTTTTTTACATCGGTCCCTTATCAACTTGCTTGTCCTTTTCCATCACTGAGGTATATCGATCTTCGACAAAATTTTTTACAAACAGTTAACATAAATCTCACATGTTTGGCGAAAATTGAAATATTCGACTTGAGCAGGCAATTCATTACATTTTTGTTTTAATAGGTAGTTTATGCAGAGAATATTGAAAGATGATTTTTTTCTCGATAATTGATTGAACTATAAATACTCATTCAAAATTTCTTTTAAGTTTATTAAAATGAAATTTATTCCGCATAACTCTTCTATTAGCTTATTAATTTTTCAGAAATAATTTTCGACAGTTGGATGAATCATTCATGAAAGGAATCGGTCAGATGTTGCCGGAACGTTCAATTATTTTGAAAAACTCTTTTTACTGCAATTGTAAAAGCGTTTCATTCATCAAGTGGGTCAGACATTCCAGAACGGTGTGTTATCATTCGCTGGCAAATTTATACTGATGCCTTAGTGATAATTTGCGATTATAATAAGTGATCTCTTTTCTCAGGACTTTTCCGAGTCTTTTGTTTCGAACTTTTATTGGGTTCATTTTTCTAGAGTCTTCCAAATTTTTCAAATTTTTCTGAGATTGGAAATTAATTGGAAATTGAATTAATTTTAATTAATTTTAATTAATTAGTTGGAACTGATATTCATTGTCACTTACGTTTTAGATAAGAGATAAGAATGTTCTGGCTTGCAGTCGTGCCAGCCCTTCCAAATACAATGGTTTTCGCTTGCAAGATTTACCGTTGGATGCTCTGGATTGTAATGATCCAGTTTTGGCTGGTCAAGCTTCTCTTTATTTCAATACTATTTCAGTATTATCTATGCTTTTACTAGATATTTTTTTGTATATGTTGTTTTGAATATTTCTACTTTATGTAATAAAATATAATTTTGTATGAGTTGAAAATATGGCATGTCAATTAGTCAATTTATGGTACAAAGATATAATCTAATCACATAATTTTGGCAGAAAAAAGAAGAAAAAATATTTTAATATTTTATTACCCATTCGAGTATATAAAATAAGAGAAGTTAACGCTCACCACCTTTGGTCGATTGGTAGTTAATGGTGTTAGAAATCTGTCAGGGAATGGCTTGGAGATGGAAGTGCAAATTCCGGTGCCGCTTGGATTTTTTATTGTCAGTTTTATCATTCTTGTTGTGGGCAGCAAGCAGATGCGTCTCAGCATGATAGTCCGGATCTTGCATTCAGCTACTTTTTTCTCTTCTCAGGCAATATTTAAAAGAAGCACGAAATATATTTTTGAAAAAATTCAGATGATTCCATTATTATTCCATCGATTAAAATTTGATGATTGAAAGTATTTTTATTAATTTTCTTTCGCGAATTTATTAATCAAAATGCAAATCATAAAAATGCCGACCTTTCGAGAATTATCGAAATAAATTTCGGAAGTTTTAGAAGTTTGCATATATAAGTATATAAAGGGGATGTGGCAGCAAAGCAATGGCAGTGAGATAATATCTGCGATGCCAGCCAAAATTCCAACATTCACCGTTTTAGCAGCGTTATCAGTGGTGATTTTTTTTGAACATTTATTTTCCATATTTCTGCAATAAATGGTTGGATCGTCTTAAGAAACGGAATTTTAAGATAAGGTTTTATGAAACTTCTATTAAATTTTTTAATCAAGCTATCAAAGCTTGAGTCCTTTCTAACTAGGCAGCAAAGAACAAAACTTACTCAAATGCCGATATAAATCTTTAATTATTTAATTTAATATAATTGCCTTTTTGGATGCAAAATTTTAACCGTAACTGTAAGAGTTTTTATCGAAAATCATTAATAATCTTGCAAAAATAATAAGAATTTGTTATTATTATTATTACTATTAATAATTTATAATAGATAATTTTTAATATAATAGATAAATAATTTATAATAGATCAAATTTTTCAGCATGCTTTCTTATGTATACATTCGCGTTCTCCAGGTATTTTTTATTAATTAAATACTAGAGCGTTGCATATATCGTTCGTTCCAGTTTTGTAACGATTTTGTTATTGCCATTTCCCACTTTTGATTGTTTCTTTTCTCAAGTATTTGTTGTTGGATTTCCATTTTATTAATATATTCATGCAATTTTTTAATTATTTTGCAATATAATATGTAGCTAAATAAAGGCGATTAAAAAATATTGTCGCGAAGCAGTAGCGAACTTTTTTCATCATAAAAGGATAAAATCCTCATAAATACTGTATCAAATGAAATTAATTTAGTACAATTATTTAGAAGAGATAGTGTTTGCCATTTCTAAGTTAAGCTTTAGCTGCTAGTGCAACTAGAAATTTTTGGCAGGAGTTGCTTAGCGATAGCCTCAGGTGGATAGCCAGCAAAAGCAATAAGCACTGCTTATGATGCAGATAGAGGTGTTTGAGTTCAAACTATGTCAAGCTTGCAAGCCAATGTTGGTTCACCGATAGATGCCATATAAAACGTATAATTTGGAGAAATTTAAGAAATTCAAAGCAAAAGGTAATTTAAAGATAGAAAATTAAGGATGCTGGATGATTTCATTGTGGCGGTTTTTTCATGTAGAGAAGTATATTTCTGTTTTTGGTTTTATCAATCTGATTGCTGATTATTTTTGCTTTTCAATATTATCAAAAATGCGATTTTCAATGGATAAACAAATTTAAAAAGAGGTAATACCGAGCGTTCTCGTCTGCTTCTTTCACTTAAATTTTCTTTATTCATATCATCAAAAAATTTCGTTTCATTTATATCATTTCTGCGATGAGGTATTTTTGCCAGAAATTCACTTGCTGTATGAAATGAAGATGTATGGCACTCTCAGAATTAAATGCAGTCAGCAATCATTTTCAAAAATTAAAGTCTTCGGTGATGGAATCTGTGCAGGTAATTTCGCGTAACGCGTTGTTGATAATAAAGGCAATTATTTTTTCCTTCCATTTGTTTTATTTTGGTGATAAATGAATGTTATAATGAATGATGGTCGCTTTATTTGAAGATGGATTGATTCCAACATTTCTTTTTATCCATAATAATTCGATATTTCTTAGAAAAAATTAATAATCATCCAATTTTTGTTGCTCTTAATGTGATAGTATTTTTTTCTAAAGCATTGTTGCTTAAAATGATCAAAAACCATAAAAAATTCAGAGATTTCTGAAAAATCAAATTTTTCAAATCAAAAATCAGATTTTCTCATTATTTTAACATACAACAGGATGATGATATCAGGAAAATTAAAAAAATTAGAATTATTTATTGTTCATTTTAGACTCTATCAGCTTTCACACGATCATAATACCGATAAGTTGACCATTTGCATAACACACTTCTTAAACATAGAAGATAATATCTTCGCGAATATGGACTATGCAAATTTTTAAAAGCGTTTCTCCAGTTTGAAAAGATTTAGTTGGATTATATAGCAATATCAAATTTTTATTAAAAATTCGATTTTTCACAGTTTCAATAGAGAATTATATATTTATTTTTGTCCTTTATTATTTTTACTGATTTACAGGTACGAAAGCAATAAAGCAAATAAAGGGGCAAATTCTAAAAAAAAGCGATTTCCTTATTGGACCGTTCTCAACTGCAAAGGCTAAAATGGATAATGAAATGACTTTAAAATTTTTTTTGTGCAGAGATTTAATAAATGACCTTGTATTATAGCCTAAATTATATTTAATTTTTCATAAATATTTGAAAAAAAATTTTTTTCTTGAACTTTTTTATGCAGAAAATTGTTGCTTATACCACCAAACAAACGTCAATTAGTCAAAGCACTATAATTTGAAGTTCTAAGTGGAATAGAGCGTTTATTGTAAGCGACCGATTTTCTTCGTCCATTTAAGCTAAAAAAAATTTGCGACACCATTATCTGAGTTAAAGAAGGAAAATTGGGCGAGAAAAAGCGAAAAGAAGGGTGGTGCAAAAGGGGGGATTATAAGAGGGGATCTTAAGGTTAGTAATACAAAACGAATTTAAAACATATTTGTCAAATTATGAGGTAGAAGTTCGTGAACATTTTATAGCTTAATTATCCGAATTTGATGTTGTGATAAACAATGTTTAATGTTTAGTAGTGGCAAATGTTTACTGTTCGCTGCAAATTAGCAAGTTGCTGTAATAAGTCCCACGTAATGTCCCACTTGTGAACAGTTTAAAGAAACAACAAAAAAGAGTTTGGGTGCATTATAGGCATAATGCTAGATTTATGATTTCATCTTTTTCACTCGGACAGCATTAAGGAAAATATGGGAGAATGCGATATTGTCTAAATATAGGTTAAATTATTGTGATCGATTATAGGTTCGAATTTTGCCTTCAAACAAAATCTACCATTAAAAGTGAAATTCGAATGGTGATGAGGAAGGAATGTTCTTATCAAGTGGTTTTATGTTATCACCTATCTAAGTTGAAAAAAATTTACGACACCATTGTCTGAGTTAAAACATTTTATATCATCTTAACTCAGTGATCAATAGAGCTATCCAAATCAGAAACGGTGACCATTGTTAGAGGAAGAAGCATAAAGATAAAATAGATAAAATAGAACGAAATACATTTGGTATACAAACAAATTTTCATCTGGAGAATAGGGTTCAAAAGGTAAGAATGATTACAATATAAATATAAGTCTCAATCTAAATTCTTCTTTTTCTTCTAACAACTACTGGATAGGTTGGCTTCACTGGTTGCAAGGGTAGGTCATTTCAAAGTTGCCCGATCTGATACCATCGTCGACAGTAACAGAAGCCATTCCTTCCTTCTTCCATCGTCGAAGTTCATATATTGCTGGTCCATTTATATGTTCAAAATCTTTTCTAACCAGGTTTTGATTGGTTCTCCTCGCTTTTAATGCCAAGATTCGTTAAATAGTGATATATACGTCAACTCCTGTGGAGGATAACGAAGAACGCGCCTAAAACAGCGAAAGTGACGCTCTATGATGGTACTGTTAATGTAATTGGTATTTGAGCGAAAATTAAAGTAGTAGTGAGAATTTGTCTGCCCGGTTAAATTTATATTAGATGATTTATATGAGTGGTTAAAGGCAGATAATTACTTCTCAATAATCTTCACTCTCATCGGTAATGTCTCGCAGCCATATAACAAGATCGAGCGGATCGTAGCTGTATAGACGCAATCTTTCGTCTTTATCGAGTAAATCGTAAAGGTCTCGTCAATCGGAAAAAGGTAGCTGCCGTTATTCAAGTTGTAATTTGCTCTTTCGCTTGGTCGTTTGGGATTAGAGTGGATCCAAGATATTTAAAATCTGGCATTTTCTCAATTGGTAGTGAATTGATAAAAATAAGTATTTAATCAATTTCTTATATTTAAGAAGAAAAGATTTTCGTTTTACTTTGACTCTGAGTCCGATTCTCGCTGCAGTTGTTGACACACTATTTATCATTATGCATTTTTTCATTGCAATTATCAGCAAAAAAGACCAGATCATCAACGTATTCAAGGTTATGATGTTCTGTACTGACTTCTACACTCGATGTCCGTTATCCAGTCTACCGTATAATTTGAATAATTTAGCCTGGAGACCATCTCCGGGAGTTTTGTTGGCCTTAACATTATGGATGATAGGGATTATTTGTTGTTCTGCTAGTAAGCATATTATTCGAGGAGTGAATAAGGTTTGTTCGGGGCAAAAGATGGCTCTTCATGGTTAAGTTTGGCTGAAAAGAATTCCTCCTGTCTTAAAAGGTAAAGGTAATTCGGTATTCTGTATCTTTTCACTAACCGTTTCAACGAGTTATAATTGCTTCCTGAAAAAGGCGGAATAGTGTCCTATTATCACTTAATCGAGATGCTTCTCAATTGTCAAGGCCATATCGCTCCAGTGTAGATTTC